CTGCTGTTTTAATCACGTATGCAAAGACTAATGAGAGACCGTTCAGCAATACCCAAAGGCCTAATAATGAGGATCGTATCCTGTGGGGCTAGAAACTGCAGCATGATTCCCTGCTTAGAATTGAGGAGAAGAGACTTTCAACCCAGTTCTGCTAGAACCTGCAGAGTGCCCGCTGAGATACAGTATGATGGGAATTGCTTTTTCCTTACTGTATTATCCCATGTCCTATACTGACAAGCTTGAAAGCAAATAGATTTCTTACAGTTCAACCAAAGTTTAAAAAAAGAGTTCTGAGTTCTGGAAGAAAATAACTGTTCTGAAAGTAGATACATAAGTGACTGTTTCAAAAAATGAAGGTTCCTGCTCCTTCATTCCTTCCCCCAGGACCAATCTTCTACACTGGGGAGCATATGTAGAGGTTCAGTGAACCACAGACAAAAGTTGATTCCACCTTAAAATTACTTGCAGCTTGGGCGCAGCTTGCGTAAGATCTGGTATGCTTGTGCTGATCCATACACCCACTGTAGGAGTCCAAAATGCTCTAGTAGTTAGCTCAAATAGCTGTAGGGTGCTACTGGGGCTCTCGGTGGATCCTTGTAATAAATCCTTGGAGTAGAGACTTATGAGTACTTGGTGAGCTGGACATTTTTAAGATCTTACATAAATTGTAAAAAATAGAAGAAAATTAGTTTTGAGACTTTTTATGAAATTATGGTTTTTTTGGGAAGAATCTGTGGTGCTCTGCATAATTCATTGTCTTCATGGTTTGACAGGTCCCCTGTGATGGATTCAGTGACATTGAGACTCTCGGGTGCCCGAGTCATTTTTTTGAGGATGAGCTGATGTGTATCCTTAACATGGAAGGAAGGTAAGAAAGAGAGGGGCTAGAAATGGAAAGGATTTTTCCCCTTTCACCAGTTAAAGGAGAATGGTACTGTGGTGAATGCCTGACCCCAGCTTCTGTCCTTTTGTTATTCTCATAAAACAACATCCCCAGGTTTACCAAGGCTGGGAAGCATTGCTCTGTGTTTCATTTTAGAACATTTAATATTCCCTGAAGAAACCATCTAGATTAGTCTACAAGAAGGAGGTCCTCTGGCTTTGTGTTGCTGTTTGTTACTTGTTTCCTTGTCAGTTGATGACACCTGCTGGGACATATTCCATGTACCCACTTCTCCATAGTAGTTTTGGCTTAAGGAGTTCCATTCTCATGTTCCTTTTTTATTTAAACCTGGATCACTGTGCTGAACTGGATGAGCAGGATGAGGCCACTGCACTGGAGGGAAGTGGGAATACTCGATGAGGATTGCCACCATGAATCTCTGTATCATGAAACTACAGCCCTGTTCTTGTTGCTTTTCTTAGCTGTAGTAGGTTGGTACAATTTTGGTCCCCAAATAAGCAAGTAAGTTTAAGTCAGCCACTGCAAAATTTGCAGTTCTGTAAATTATTCAGACAAGTGAAATGCCAAGCAGGTAAATAAAACTTATGGTTTGCATCTGCCTAGGTAGTCTCATCACCATGGCTAACACTGGGCAAGATGAATAAGTCACTGCTTTAATTGAAGGTCTTTCTGCTGGTAGTGTATAAATCATGCTGAGTTTGCTGTTATACGAAGCACCAATAGATTGCTCTTAATGGGGTCTAATAGCCTTGATTAAAGGGACTGTTAGTAGAGCTTGAAAAAACATAACTGGAATGGCAATCATCTCATTTTTGCTTTTTCACATCCATTTTATTACCTTCTCTGTTTGAACTGGGACTAAACATCTCTCATTTGACAACTGGTTAAAAAGCTTTTGAGTCTTTGCACTGGCCAAATACCCATAAAGCAGAATTGATGCTAATTACACCCTGATTAAGTTCTAGTCATTGCCATTCAGGAGCATTAGGCTAAATCATTTCCCTGGAAGATATCCCAATAAAGCAGTTGTCCCTATTGAGCATCCCAGTTTATTGGAAGAGGATAAAGTGTTATGAGGTGTGATTATTCTCCTGTCCAGTAGGATGGAGAAGGCTGATTTGACCTGCAGTCTGGAGGAGAGGTGATGTAAGCAGGGAAGGAGTTTTTCTTCTGAAGAAGGAAACTGGACTTGTTTTAAACACATGGCAAGGGCAGAGCCTTGGGATCAGTAGAATTCTCCCTTTGGGTGTTTTTTGGGGCCAGGGCTTTGTGCCATTCCTAACTATTTGGTGTAAAAGTGCTCAGTAAGGCACTGGGTAACCCATTGCTAAAGGCCAGGGCTTGCTGAGATGCATCTGATTTGAAAGCCGCTGAGTTGGCCTGTCGTGTTTCGAGTGACCTCTTCAAACCTTACCTGGGTAGTAACCAGCTCTCTGTTTCTTCTTCCTGGGCACCCTGCCTTCACTTGTTAATTTAGAAAGTGAAGGGGCTTCACTACAAAAGCTGTAAGGTTTTGGATTGTGTGATCCATGGACCAGCTGTTGATCTGTTCTTTCCTTTTCAGAGCAACACAGGTGTTTTTCCTCTGGGGATTTTTTTTCCTCTTCTGAATACTATTGGGGCTACATTCATGTCCCTCATCAATGTCTTTTTAATGGCGAGAGGGTACTTTAAGATTGATTCTGGAGGAATCCAGTCAGACAGAGGGTAATGTTTTTGAATAAAATACAGAATTTTAATTGGATATTCCTGAGCTACTTTAATTAGGACCTGTGTTGTTTCCCATGATGCTGTATCTTCTCAAAATTATATATTGGTGGTAGGATAAAAATTGAAGGTGACAGGAGCAATGTTTTGCAAGTGTCTTATGTTGTGGGTTTTTTATGACAAATTTCCTCTTAACATTTACCTTTTTTGGTTGACTCTTCAGTTATAGTGGTGTTGCCAGACTTGTTTAGAAAAGCAATAGTCTAAATTGTAAACCTGTATTGACTGGAAAAGTTAAATCAAATGTTCACCTTTAAAGTGCTTGTTTAGGGCAATACTACTTTTTATATTTAAATGTGCAGGAAAGGTCTCACCTGGAAGTACTATGCAAAGAAAATTCTATACTTCCTACGCCAACAGAATATATTAAAAAATCTGAAAGAGTATCTTCAGCGTCCAACTGATCGGCAGTCATTTTTAGAGGGTAAGTCTTTGGCAGAAATCCCATGTAGAGCACCTAATCACAGCTTTCCATCATTGCTGTTTTACTTGGAAAGAGCCTTCCTTGCTTATATTTCAACTAGCCCTTTGACAGCAACTCAGAATTAAGTCTGGATTGTTGATGTACCTTAAACCCTTAAAATCTTGCAGTAGTTGCATCGTGTTGCATCAAAATGTCAGGATTACATTAGCCTCTGTCAGTGCTGTATGCTTGAATAATTGCCAACGGACAGGCAAGCTGAAAAGCAATGGAGAAAATGTTAAAACAATTGCATTTGAATCTTGAACAATGTATTGAGGATATTCGCAGTAGCTCAGCGTCCTAATTAGCTGGCATTGCAGAAGGATTTTAACTGTAGCCCGTGGGCTGAATATGGCCTAACATATCAACTGATCTGATTTCGATTCAGCTCCCTGCTGTCTCCTTTCCCAAGTGCTTCTCGGATAAAGGCAAGTAACAAGCTGCAGGCAGGGGCAATTGTTGCAGCTCATAGCCTGTGCACTGTGGGTTTCTCTCAAGAAAAGGTCTGGCTGCTGGACCTTTGAAGCTGTGCAGTGTAGAGCTGGGGAATGGATGGAAGTCCAGTCACATGGTGGGAAGGCACATGCACCTGAGATGAAGAAAGAAAAGGCTTTTCTGCAATTCACGCTCTCAGTCTGGTAGATTATTCTCTGCTTCAAGCTTCCTATGGAGAAGATGGTATTCTGAATGGGCTGAAGCCTGCCAGTGTCTGTAGGAGTCCCTTATTCGTTATTTATACCTCAGAAATGTCATAGGAAAGAGTCTTGAACACCAAAGCTGGTTCTTGTTAGTGGCCATAGACTTGGGACTGCGTTAGGGCAAGAAGGGAAAGCCAAAAGTGGCTTTTACTGGAAACAACCAAGACAGTTAATTATGTGACTTACTCATGTGGGCCAAAAATACATGCATTTCTCTGCCATGGAAGTATTATTACAGCACCAACAGTTAGTCTTTTGTGAAACTTCTCTGGTCACCATGGGGAACACTAGAGGCAGGAAGAAGACATGGCTTGGGGTCCTGCTAAAATCCTTGAATCCAGGCCTGTCATGGAGGTCCTAATGAAGCAATGTAGGAGGTACGATCCATGCAAAATTCTTGCAGGTGAGTTCAGTTGATTCCAAAGCTTGAACGATACGGAGATTTTGGAAAGAGCAGTGGTGACAAGATGACAAGGATAAGATTCTGAGAAAGGGCTATTTTTGTCCTGCAGAAGCTTGAAAGAAGAGACTTGGGCAGAAGGGAAATGAAAATCTGTTCTGTTATAGTGGGTTTCTGACATGATGATGGAGAGCAGGCGTGGCAGAGAAAGATGAATGTAGCAGAAGAGGGAACGATAAGCAAGAATGATAGCTATGGAGGGTATGGCAGGAAGAAATCAGAACTGAAACAGAAGTGAAGTTGAGATTGTTTCAGGCTCTGAATAAAAAACACTGAGTTGGGAGGATGCCAAGAGATGCAGTGTGACTGGAGAGTTGGCTGGTTAATCCTGGTCTAGCAGCATGCCTGCTCAGTGTATGAATCTATTGCTTTCCCTTTCAAGACGGTGGGGAGGGGAATACTGAATCTAATTGGCATTTACCATGCCAGCTTATACTTCGCGTTTTGTGTGATAAATGCAATATATTGCTGTAAATTTTAAAAGGAAAGCTCTCGTGTTCCACTGCAATTGCTTGCTGCATGCCTGGAATTTAGAGTAGGTACAACTAAGCAAAGAAAAAACTGAAGTCCTGTTTCTTATATAGTTTGTTTTTTCCAGGTGCTGTTTTAATCGATCAATACTGTAACCCACTGTCAGACATCTGCTTAAAAAGTGTCCAGGCACAGGTGGATGATATCACAGATAAAGTGCGCAAAGTCCTGCGGACGAAAAATCCAAGGCACCCCAGCTTGGCTTCTAAGGCAGGTACTGTACAGAAATGTATGCTTTTCAGCAGAGAATTTCTGCAAATCCAGATACTGGCAGACAAGGTGAAACAGCTGTTGAACTGTTGCAGCTTAAAGAGCTGTTGTTCTTTATCCCCTGGCAAGCATATTCTGACATTTGCTTAAACCATCATTCAGGAAACAGGCTGTTTATTCAGCCACGGGGACCCAATAGCCCAGGGTTGTCAGTGCATCTGATACTCTCTAAGCAAAAAGAATTAAGAGGGGAATTCTTCTTTTTTCTTTTTTTTTCCCCGTTTGTCCCTAAAGTCTTAAGTAGTCCTGATATCTGTAGCAGAACGGTGGGACAGGGGATCGACCTCTTTTCCTCTGCAAGTCTCAGCAAGTCAGCAGCAACAGAAAAGGTATGTGCTTTAACACCTCCAAAGGTCAGGCAGCATCTTGCTCCATGTTTTTTGTAAGCACTATCTGAGGTTTGCTGTCTTTCAAAGAGAGAATGAGCGGTCTGCCTGTATCTGTATATCTGGAGTAGCCAAGCTGGGACTCTCAGGCAGTCTCAAGCACAATTCCCATGCCTGGACGGTGTGGCATGTCCAGTTGCGGTGCTATGCTGGCCCAGGTTGGTTAGGATCCAGTCCTCCAGCTGCAGAAGGAAGCGAGGGATCACTGTTGCACAGCTGAGGTGCAGGAATCCACTGAGCCAGGCCACGTTGTGCGCAGAGCGCTAGGGTACTGCCACGGTCAGCTCCGGCCAGTCTCTTCACTATCTGAATTGAGATCACTCTCCTGTCTTCTTAGCCCCCATCAAGAATTTTGGTGTAAGGTTCATTGCATAAAGGTTAAGTGCATTTGTTTCCTCAGTCTTTGTTTCATTGCCTGTGTTTTTAGGAGAGGTCCTGGTTCCAGAAGTGGAGCTTCAGCGGCAGGTACTTGATGCTATGAATTGTGTCCTATATGAGCAGTTAAAATACAAAGGAAACGAGCTGGATTACTATAACTCCCTGAATTCGTACATTCACCAGGTACGTATATGTTAGGCAAAAACTAGGAGGCTGCAAGGCTTGGGACATTCTATTTGTGGTGTTTATTTGTCCAAATTTAGTCAGGCAAATAATTCTTTCTGAAGAACAACTTGCTGTAAAGTCAATATGATGTCGTCTTCTATTGCATATTCTGTCAAGTTGGTTTATTTTCATTTGTGAAATCAAACCTTGGGGCTTTGTGTTTTTCTTGATATCCCATGTACTTTTATCACATTTTTATTTTCCAGGTTTTGATCCGCAGGACGGGAATTCCCATCAGTTTGTCTGTGCTTTATTTAACAATTGCCCGGCAGCTAGGAGTCAAGCTTGAACCAGTCAACTTCCCTAGCCATTTTCTGCTGCGATGGTGTCAAGGAAAAGAAGGGTAAGTGATGTGCTGAATTTTGAAGTTGTGTCCGCAGCAATAAAAGCCAGAAAGCATTTACAGCTCCAGACCTATACCAGAATGTTTAGTTATTTTACATCTGCAATTACAACCTATGTGGAGGAAAAGATCAGATCTCTAAGGAAGTTTTCCCAGAACTCAGCTCTGCTGTTGATGAATGGTAGCAGATTTCCTGAGTGTGAAATAACAACCACCATGAGGTAATGTTTCTCTTATTTAAGAAAATTATGAAAAACTGAAAAGAAGAAAAAAGGTATTGATTTCACATAACCTTTCATACAGGACAGTTGCTAGAGACCATTGCTGCTGTTCTGTGCACTCATTTAATACTCCGAATCAGTGCAGGATAGATCTTTGACCAGATCATGATCAATTTACAGCAATCTGTATTTTGTGAATGACATCAGCAGTCCAATTCACAGCAGTGGTTTTGTCTATATATACCCCTTTTGGCACTAACCTTCAGATGCCATATGTGTGGTGCTCTTACACTTTCCAGTGCAGTGTCATAACATAATCTAGCAATAGATGCCACAAACCTGAAAATACCCAAAGGAAAGAACTGGCATGGTGGAGTGAAAGCGTCCCCCTAGTTTCTCTGTCTTTTCCCATATATGTTTATCTGAAGAAGCAGCTAGGAGGAGAGAGAAGGTAATCTCTTTTTAGGAGGGAGCTGAGCTATGAATGACACTTGTTTTACAAACAAGCTTGAAAGTGCTGAGGGAAGAAGAAAAATAAGTAATCCCGCTCTACCATGAGACCCATCATCACAATGTAGTTCCCTTGTTGTTTTGCTAGAAGCACAGATATTTTTGACTACACCTACATTGACGCCTTTGGGAAGGGGAAGCAGCTGACAGTGAAGGAGTGCGAGTACCTTATTGGCCACCATGTGACAGAGGAATTCTATGGAGTGGTGACTGCAAAAGAGGTCTTGCAGCGTATGGTGGGAAATCTCTTAAACCTTGGCAAACGGTGAGTTGAGAATCATCTGGCCTGTAAGGTCTGGGGGAGGGAAAAGGGCCCAGAATACACTGTCTGCATATCTGCTACTGCTTCTTCACGGTGTTTGAGTGGGTGCTTTAAAAAGGTGCCAGTCGCCCCAGGGGATCTTAATAATTCTGTATGTCACGTTGCATTGTCTAGTTGCTTTTAATCACCTGCAGCAGTATTGCATGGAAACAAGAATATTTACTAAAACAAGTTCCCCTCAAGAAAATGGATAGATCATTTTTTTCCTTTGTGAAAAGCTGATAGGGACCGTCCACCGTTCCCTTAAGAGCAGAAACCTTCGTTATCATCTAGTAAGTGCAACCCACATGCTCAGATGAGCAGTCTCAAAGGTATTGCTCGTTTGTAGAAAATCTGGTGGTTTTTTTCGAATGCCGCTTGATAATCACTTTCCCAAGTAGCCATAGACAGAAATCACAAAGTGAAAGGATTGCTTTAAGTGTAATTAAGCTAGAGGAACAGAAGCAGATTTCAAAGGGAAATGGCATAGAGAGTGAATTTGCTATGTAGGATTATTTGACCAAGTAGAATACCAGTGAAGTGGGAAGGTAGACTCCAATCGTCAGTTGTGTAGCATTTTTCCTTCTGAGCAGGCTGTTGGATGTGATGAATGACAGCCAGTCCTGGAGTCACTCTTGTTGAATGAGCATGCCTGTACCTGTAGCATCATTTTTGATGACTATCCCTGTACTTCGGAGTACTGGGGACAGGGGTTGAAGAGCTAGCCTTACAACTGAGTTTCTTTTTTGCTGGCAGAGAAAGCACTGATCAGTCTTACCAGCTCTTGAGAGACTCGTTGGATCTATACCTGGCCATGTATCCGGACAATGTGCAGCATCTAATGCTCCAGGCTAGGTTATACTTCCACCTGGGAATCTGGCCAGAAAAGGTACCTCGCCACTCGGTCGTATGTTTTCTCATAGGCTAAGCACTATTAACACTAGTCTATTGATTTTTGGACTACGTCAGCTTGCATTACAGTCTGCCACAAGTTGTTTCTGTAATAAATGCAATTGAACGAGTTATCACATTTCAGAGAATCAATTTTTACTATATGAAGCAAGGAAAAGAGGATGATTCTTTCTTGCTTGCTCTAGGGAAGACTTGTGAGCAGCCTTGAGTCTGAGTCATAATTTATGATTTACTGCCCAAGTCTGACAGTTTACCTTGCAACCAATACCATGGACTTTCAGCTGTAAGTTATAAGAACATTCTTTTTGCTTTATGCCTAGATTATGGCTAGTGGTGGTACAGCTCTTGCTGGACTCATGTAAAAGGAGCAATTACCTTATCAGAAAACTTGTCGGAAGTTCTCTCTTATAAATACGACCAAAGCTGTTCTCTGAAACCTTAGCCACACAATCAGTTGCTCTTGTGAAAAAGCCACTTAATATTTCTGTCCTTGGGATTCTTCTTTAATACCGCCTTTAGCATAGCAACTTGAGTCCTGCTATCTTGTGAATGTGGGAAAGAAGTTGCCAAGACTTACAGGTTGTCTAGATCATCCGTGTCTTTCACTGAATCAGGGAAGGCACAGGGAAGAAGCATGTAACTCAAAAATATTATTTCTATAGTGTATCACTACAGCAAAGACGTGTTCCCTAGTCAAATTTTCATGTACTACTTTAGTGAAGCTCACACACTTGGGCAATGCCTGTGCCATTCCCAAACGTGTGGTTTGGGTGAGCGGGCAGAAGTATTGGCTGGCCTGCTGAGCAGAAAACAGCTCTTCCCACCAAATTAACTGAAGCATAGGACTGCTGGGGAAGCTGCTTTCCTTTTGAAGAACAAACTGGGCTAAGCTTGCCTTTCCTTTCTTATGGCAGCAAGTTTTAGGGTTGCCACAGAAAAAACAGCACAAACTAAGAAATTGTGTACAGGAGGGACTCGCTGAGCTGAAATGGCAACCGTATCTAAATAGGGGACAGCTAAGTGAAACACTGAAAGGTCTTCCTTTTCTGGCACTCAACAATGTGTTTGTAAAGCACCAAGGCTTTACATACGCATATTTTGCTGCCCTTCATAACAAATAATACAACCCCATGGCTGAATTTCACATGTAGTTTCTCTGCACCGCGTTGCCAAATGCAATGAAAATGTGCAAATTTGGATTTTTCAGTGTTGGTCCTCATATGTATCCAGTCATTCCAGGCTATGGGGTAGGATTGTAGCAAGCCAGAGAGAATGCTCTGTGTCTGACAGAACAGAAGATACCAGATTTCATAGAGGTCTGCCAGATTTATCGAAAGTGGTACAAAAATCTTAAGTCAAGCAGAGCTACACAGAATGTTGTCCTAAATGTTTGCAAATAACAGTAAATGAAATTGCCAAGTATCTCTGGCAGCTATGGTCACTGTGCCAGGCCTTCCCCTTACCATAGGATTTTTCAGGATTTTCACATCCTCTTAAGATGCCAGCCAGAGAATTAAGGTGGTCAAGAAGCCTGAGCTTTGTTTCTTCTCTTACGTAATTCCTCACCTGTTCTTTTTCTGAAGTTATTTTCTTCACCTCTTGGCTGATGTTCATGATCAATAGCCTGAGATTTCTATTCCTCTTCTGCTGCTGCTCTGAACTTAAGAGTGACCAAAACTTCCAGCATGTGATCAAGGTGGCAGGCCTTTTGCCAGGTGCTAAAGTGCATCAGATTTTGGAACAGTGGCAGCACTTGAGGTATTTGACGTTGGGACGGATGTATCTGTCTTGCCGATCTGTTTAGAAAACAGTTTTTATTAAGAGCAAGGAAGAAAAAGAAAAAAAAAAAAGACTAAAACTTGCATTGCCTGCCTCTAACAAACATGGCAGCAGATGCTCTGATAGTGTGCCAGAGGGTGTTGGTAGGCTGGTATTCTGGATCTACAGAGTTTGCTGCTTTCAGAGCACTTCTCAAATTAGTGTTCTTCAGTCATCCTGAGACAAGCAGGTTCTCTATCTCTTGTTCACTATTTCATGGTATAGCATCACAGCTGTTATTTGCATTTCCTTCTGCGCTGCCCTGTTTTTCCTCTGCCAGGCTCCCACAGACATGCTGAGGAACTCTTTTAAACTAAAATGTTTGTTCTAAAGTACAGCAGAAGTCATCTGGAATCGCTTCACAGCAGCATTTTGGGAAACCAGCAACAGTATTTTCTTAATGTCTCAGAAACCTTGAAGCAGTCTCGTTAATGCCCTGTGGTTGAAAAATGTGACGTGATTAGCCTGTATGATTTAGTTTTAAGGAGTTACTCTGCTCAACAGTGCCCTTCCTTGGAAGTAGGGAGCTTTACACCTAGAAAAGGAGAGGTCTGTTTGCAATTTCTGTAGGCTAAGCAAGTGTGAAGAACTCCTTGGGAGTGTGTAGATAAAGCAAAGATTCTCCTGTGTGGAAAACTTGTGTGGCCATCCTCCAGGCCTGGGTATTTAGACCCAGCTAACTTGAGACGTACATCTGTATATATTTGTAAGTGTTGGACTGCTGTAGAGATGTGTTCTGAATTTGTCTTTTTGTTTTGGTTGCTCAAGGTTCTGGACATTTTGCAGCACATTCAGGCTTTGGACCCATCACAGCACGGGGCCGTTGGGTACTTAGTTCAACATACCCTAGAGCATATTGAGCGCCGGAAGGAGGAGGTGGGACCTGAAGTGAAGCACCGTTCAGATGAGAAGCACAAAGAGGTCTGCTTTTCCATCGGGCTGATTATGAAACACAAGCGGTGAGCTCTTCAAAACCTTCCCTACATTAGCAGGCTGTACTCTAACAGTGAGTGCAGAAGTGTTTGTTCTGACAGTAATGAGACGTGGTTTTATCTGCCAAGGAGGTACCTGGAATGGAAAATGCCAGTCACGTGCATCTGTGCCATGTACCTTGTAGAAAAATGGGAGCAGCTCTGTCCTTTGAGAGAGCGAGTGTATTCACTGCTGTTCGCTTGCAGAGAAAAGTTTGTGAGGTGACTTGTTTAAGTCATCGTATATCACACAGCTAAAATTTCCAGAGCCCCAGAGCTCTCAAAGCAACATCAGTAATCAGTTAATGAGGGACCGTGGAACAGAATTGACTTCAAAAAAGATTGTAAGATTCCTAAGACTGCTTATGAATCTTTCCCTGTGCTATTATTACCCCCTTCTTCCTGCATTGCACAGGGGCTTTGTGTTCCTGTCTGTACTACTCTGCCAGAATTGTGTTGCTTCGGCCACTCCTCCGACTCAACAAGACAACTAGAGCATATTTTAAGGCCATCAGTAGTGACAGTTATACTACCCTGTGATTAATTACATAAATAATCTGAAAACGGCGATGGCTTTGTTTCTGTGAGTTCAGTATTGATATTACTATGTCTGTGTGATGGGCACAGAAATAATTGCACAACACAGTAGGGTGGTTGATTCTCTCCCTATTTCCTGTTCTCCCGGTTGCTGACTTCCAGTCTCTTTCCCATTTTCATTTCTTGCTCACATTTGGTTTTCTCTTGCCCTCAGCTGTTTGTTCCTGTCTATTTATCCAGTCACTGGATAGTCATTTCCCCTTACCTCAAAATACAGACGTGCACATGCAATCTTTCTGAATTGATTTCCTCCCCCCGCCCCTTGTCCTCTCCTCCGTGTGCCAACTCACAGGAGGGTCCTATCCTGTTTGTGCTATATTAGTCTTGAGGAAAAAGAGCTGGCTCTGGAGTTTTCACAGTCTTTGCTATGTGATTTTTTTAATTAGATATGGCTATAACTGCGTGATTTATGGCTGGGATCCTGCCTGCATGATGGGGCATGAATGGATCCGGAATATGAACGTTCACAGCCTTCCACATGGCCCCCACCAGCCTTTCTACAATGTGCTAGTGGAAGATGGCTCTTGCAGATATGCTGCTCAAGGTGAGCAGGAGTCTCCTGTGTTTACTATCTGTTTAGAAGTACAGAGAAAGGGATGCTTAAGTGATTAACTCTTTCAAGAATGACACATAAACTGTTAGTTAAGGTTGAGGTAGGAAGGAAAATGATCTTGAATTCATGGCCTGCGTTGTTTGCTCTCTCTGAAATTAGTACTGCTAGGAATGAATGTTAAGGACTACTCTGGTGTAAACTCCTTTTGCTTTAGAAATGTGTTTTGGATGTGATTGGTTTTATGGTGTAAACCATGATGGTTGCTTTTAAAAGAGGTGATTCAGCTTTTGTTGCTGACAGAACCTCAGACTTCAGCTCTCTTTCTTTGAAATGATAGCTGTGCTTTGGGCAGGACCTCAAAATAGGATCTAGTGAGAGAGCACACAAATTTTGCTTGTTGGGGCATGGTTCCGAACAGCTTTCATCAAGAAACTGCATATGCCAAGATCCCAGAGAGCGTGGGTAGCATGGCTTTTAGTGCCACCTCTGATAAGAATGGGACAAAAGTGAAGGTCGCTTCTAAACCTCTTTGCATTTCTGAAATCTCTATCACCCATTCTTTATGCAACGTACCATAAGAAAGGAAAGTCTTGTCTGATGGTCAGAATATGAGGTTAGCATACAAGAACTGTTGAACTGAGGTTCAGAAGGGAAAAACTCTCTACCTGTATGTCTGTAACTGCACATTGTAAACAGAGTGTTTCTTTGCCTCATGTTTGTTCTTCTCCCTGTGATACGGAGGCGCCCCGTCCAGCTGGCAGGGCAGTGGCACAGCCTGAGTGTATTTTGCTAAGACAAGGTGTGGAAGCTGCTGGAGAGGAAATGCTGAGCAAAATGCACATAGCAAGAGCTCTTTCACTAGGGTGTGCTCCCTAGCATGTTCTGGTCCCATGTGTGTGAGCAAGAAGTGGTTTTACAGGAGAGGACGCTCCTACCTTTGTAGGTTTAAAGTGCAGATGTTTCTCACTGTCCTGAGAGTTTTTATATTCATTAGTCCAAAAAGATGAAGTGGGGACTGGGAATACTGCAGCTCAGCCCTATGGCTCATATTAGGCAATACTTGGCCTCTCAGAGAGTCAGAAAAACCACAAATTCTTCTGTGCCGTGGGTTGATATTAAAATATGCATCTCACTGAAAACTAATCAGATAATTGTCCACAGTGCTTCTGGGGCTGAGTCATCTCTTACATCTTTTGTCTAAGTGTTTATAAACAAGTATAATGTTGGCTGGTTCCAGAGCACAGGATATTTTAGCCAACCTATAGGTTGACACCGTTTCTTTGTGACATCCAGGTGTTTTGGTATTGCTAGGGGAAATTGAAGGGTTTGTCCTGGCTGCCTGACTATTGAGTATCCTCTCTAAAATACATCCTCAGATCATTTGGGAAGGGAGTATTTCATAACCCACCGACCTGACTTTGGGGAGGGGATGATAGTTTTTTACTGAAAGAATCTTAAATCTGCATGCAGAGTTTTATCTAACCAGCTCAGAAATAACACCAAGCTTATTGTAGGTAATCAGTTTGAGTCTTTCCTGTAAATTTGTGGGCTGAGCTGTAGCTAATTCCAAAACACCTGTTTCATACAGTGAGTTTGGTATCTACGTGTCTGCTCTTGTCTTTTGTTTGCTTTGTGGCAGTACAGGCCAGATATCTTGTGGTTCAAAAACTTCTAGTCAGCATGTTTCTCAGGTTTCCCACCTAGTGCCAAACTTGCTTGTCTCAGTCTCTTCCCCCCTGCCAGCTTCTGTTTCATCACTGTATTTTTTCCCTTTGTACACAGCTCACTGCTCAGCCATGCTTCTGCAGAGCATATTGGAGTGTAAATTGCTTTCTGCAGTGGTGCAGTATACAAAAAAGGTACTTTGCAAGCCCGCAGGACTGCAGCAGCGCACTTGAGGTGTAGAAAGCTCTTGTATTTTTGGCTGCACACACTGACTTACAGTAGCTTCAAAGAGCCTGTATGGATTAATATGACTTGTATGTGCTCTCTGTAATGAACTGAATAGTTTCAGAGACAGGTGAATTATTCCTGAATGATGTTCTCTGCATCCCATCTTGTTCCTGCCCTGCAGATAAGTCAGACTTTGGGACTTAGGCAGCTTCTGTTTCTACCTGTAAATCTGGCACTGTGCTGGAAAAAATGACATCATTTGGGGACTGCTGCAGGGCACCTGCGCCTGTGATTTACTGCAGGGCTGCCTCCCAGTCGTACTGCTTTATACAAATGCTGCGGGAGCAAAGGGACCCTCAGCTTGGGTCACCTTTGTGTTTTAATGCCAGTGCTTCTGTGTTGTTTAACTGTTGTGCTTAATCAGGTTGTCTTTTTAGTACAAAGGAGGAAATGCGGTGCTCTGGGAAAGAATCAAGGTGCTCTTCTTGGGGACTTTCTCTTAACTTGGGGAAGTTTGGATTTAGAAAAGTTAATTTTGCTGTGTGAGACATGCTTGAAAACCAGGCCGGTGACTTGACATGGTTGAAACACTGCATGGTGACTTAGAGCAAGACAGCACTCGGCTCCTCTACCAGGACAATCTTGAGCAGTTGCCCTCACCCTGGAGCATTCTGAGAAGGATCTCTCCTAGAAACTGGTCTCCCATGGGACTTGAGGGATCAGAGTTCAGTGCAGCAGCTTCTCCCTGTGCTCACAACCAAGATGTGTGGCCAAGAGTGAGAGCAGGTCAGCATCCTGCCACTCTAACCTCGTATCAGACAATGTGGTCTCAGGCATAAAATAGTTTTCATGCCACTAAGTAAACGGGGTCAGTATCACTTAGGAGATGAGGCTCGATGAGCAATTGTACTGGCGTAGTCTGTGCATATTTTCCTGGATTAGTGTTTTTATTTCTTTAAAGCATCAGGAGGTGGTGTTAGAGACAGAAACAAGACCTGAGAGAGGTGCAGGATTTATTGCCTTGCAGCAAGCCATTTCCTGTGGTGATAACTGATTCTTTCCTTTCCAAACAGAGAACCTGGAATATAACTCAGAGCCTCGGGAGATTCCTCACCCTGACATTGGCCGCTATTTTTCAGAGTTTACCGGCATTCACTACTTAGCAAATACCGAGCTAGAAATTCGGTACCCGGAAGATTTGGAGCTCACACGTGCCACAGTTCAGAAGATCTACAGTTCAGGCAAGGAGTGAGTGCAGAAGGCATCTTGAGGACAGAAGCAGCTGGAGTGTAGCTTTACCCTCTTTGCAGAACTTGCGTGGAAGGCAAGTTTGGTGACAATCCTTTGGCTTAACGTATTGAAAACTGCATTGAACTTTGCAACTGGTGCTATAGCATCTTTCCGTTGCCTGCCTGCCCATTCTGGCCCAAAGGCACAGGGACATGTTGGTAGTTGAGGCAAAGCGTAAGGATCTTGCAGGGGCAGTCGTGCTAGGAAGCGCGTTGTCCTTGGGAAGGATTTGCGCATACTATTTGTTCTGTGATTGTCTTGCCTAGAAGGTCAACTCGGTGAGATCCCTGGTGTGGAATATGGAAGAACCTCCTCTTCCAGAGAAGGAAGTTGCTTGTCCTTGCAGTGTTGTGGGTTTCTTGGTTGTGTTTGGTTTTTTTTGAATGTATATCTTATGTAGGTGATAGTTTTTAAAGTCTCTTATGTTTCACTGTCTTCTCCGGTCTGAATTTTTGGTCAGATTTTGCTTCACCTCTGTAGTCTGATTGTTCACAGAGCTACCGTTCCGAGCCTGAATATCCTTACGGGTCTGGGAAAGAGCCCCAGCAACAAAAACAACAGCAGCAGCTAGGCTTCTGGGGCTGGCAAGCGCAGTGGTAACACTGAGGTCTTGTTGGCCACCTTGCTGATGATACAAACTCTCCTAATGCAGAAGATGAGCGTCTAGCCCTTTTTCATGCCTGCTAAACATACCCAGTCCATGCTCTTACCTTGTTTTTCGGTGTGTTCATCATGTATGTTCAAGGCAGGATCTGCAGCACAGCCATGAGTGCTCCCAGGATGATTTTGAACCTCGTGGCACTGTTTCATGGAAGCCTTGAGGTCACTGCCAGAATGACGTTGATGTATGGGGAGCTTCCACTCACTGCTGTCTCCAGTCTATAGGTATTTATGCAATACAATGGGATCGTGACTGGAAACAGGCCAACCCTGGAGTCAGCCAAACAATGTATGGAGGAGAGATTGTTAATTCTTCTCCCTTTTTGCCAAACAAGAACAGATTTTGAGGGAGCGCATACTCTGCTGCCCAGAAGGGAAGAGCTTAGCAGCTCAAGGCACATACATTTGAACATGACTTAAAAGCCCCGGTCAGAACCATTGCAGAAGACGTTTGCCTCTGGGTTCAGGTGTTACGGGGTGCAGAGTGACACAGTGTTTGTGTGCAACATCTATAGACCAGCTGCAGCTAGTGTCTGCTGTCACTGTCCAGTTGCAATACAGTAGTTATGTCAGAGATGAGAACTAGGTACTGCGCCCTGTAGAGTTAGGTGGATGCTCTTAGTAGTCTATTATAGCACTGCAGGTATTGCCATGTGAAATCACACAGCCCTCCTCTTAAAAGAATGCTTGAACTGCATGCCATCCTATTGAAATACCGAGCACTGATTAAATGTGAGAAATAAATACTGAAAACCCAGCACTTTTGCCAGCGGAGTGGTGGTGGTGGTGGTCTGCAGAAATCTCGGTGCTTTAGGAAGAACAGCCATGCGTGGTTAGTGCTGAGGAATGGTGAAGGTACCGTACTCCAAGTAGAACTATGTCTTTAAAGAAGTGTGTACTGAAATGAACTTGGAGGGAGGGAAGGAGGAAGGGACTGAAGAATTTCTACAGAAGCAGAATGAAAGCAGGGTAGCGAATCATTAGGCAAAATCTTAAAATCCATCTCTTGTTTTTGAGAGCTGGAGTAGACCCCAACCCTCCAACCCTTTTTGAGGGTTGAAAGCAGATCGCAAGAGATTCCTAGCAGGGATGGAAAGTTGGGAATGAGACTGTTGAGTCACGAGGTCGATGCTGGTAGCTGAGAACAGGCATGCAGGAGCAGGGCTTGGGCTCCCTGTTCCCAGCCTTAGCTTTGATTGATGAGGCTAGCTCTGCGACAGCGTAGATATTGGTGAGTTTCCTGGGACTTTGTGCTCCCCTCTGCCAAAGGGGTGGTCTGTGGACACCTTGCCCCTCTCAAGTGCATCAAGAGATTTTCCACGTACTGAGCTTGTAGGAGTCCTTGGCAAGAGGTGCTGCCTGAATGCCGGGTAGAATCGTGCCATAAAAAAGCCACAGGATTCAGCAGAAAGCTGCCTGAGTTACTCTGCAAACTGGTGCTGGACAACGCATATCTAACCCACCTGAAAACACGCTGTGTACTTTAAGACAGGTGTCCCGGAGTAGTCGGCAGATCCCATTATACCCATCCTTCTGGGGCCACCCTGTGCTTATACTCTGAAAAGAGTCTGGACAAGGAGGAATCGTGGGAGCGGCTCCTCATGCCGTTCGTTCACGTTTCCACCACCCACAGACTCTTCACCGTTTCCGTTTTAGCATGGGGTGCAAAAGGGAAGTGTTACTGTGCAACAGGGGACAGACGTACTGCAAGTGACTTAGGTACACGAGGCAACCCAGCCCGCCCTGTAACTCAAACCTCTCAGCCCTTCGGCAAATGCTTTGTAGAGAAACTGTGTCCTCGGAGAGGTCGACGTATCTGCTTTGCTGTGCAGACTGTGTCAGCGCGTCGTTTTACGCGTGCTTGTGTTGTCCAGGAGCACCGACATGGCCTTGGACGTGCCAAATTCGGAGGAGGCTGGAGGTATGTCAGTAGGCACTGCACAACATCAGGGTCTAAGTCCGATTTTTGGAACTTAAGACAAAACCAAAGGAAACGGGGTGTAAAGGCTCTCCCTTTTTGTTCCTGTTTGGTTAGGCACGCCCGTGGCATCATTCCGTCTTCCTGCTGCTGCCTGTGGGATTGCATGCTACGGGTGGAGTCTTTGGTCTTAGCGAGGAGGAATTCCCACGTAAGCATTTGCAGCTGTTGGAGACCTTGCCCCAAGCATCCAGGGTGGCCAGGGAAAACGGAAAAAAGCACAAGGATACCTCTCTATCCCTGCTTGAGCAACCTCTTGAAACGCACATCAGCTCCCGCAGGCTGAGCATGGGAGGTCCGGCACAGCCGGGAACACCTTTCCAGGCTGCTGGAGGTCTCGGTAGGTGTTTGCCTGTGAATCAGGCGACTCTTCTGTCATCGTCCCCCACATGCCCCCACACCGTCCTAGCAGCAGAGGCATCTTTGCAGTCACCATTTCCCCAAGAAGAGGGCCGTGGATCCCAAATGCTCCTTGTGTCCGTGAGTAATGTCTGGGTCTGCGTGAATGTACATAAGTTAAAGACGATACATATGCACGTACGTTGCAATTTGTCCCGTCGTGTCTGTGCGGAGCTAACGTGGGAGAAGGGATGTTTTGCTTTCTGGAGAAGGTGGAAATGCTGTCCTCTTATCTGACTTCACTCACCTGCCATCCCACCGCTGTGTCTTGGGGCTTGGGTAGGTTATAAAGGTAGTCCCGGGCTTCCCTTACCAGGGGGTGAGTGCTGTAGGCAGCAGCCTTTTTCGGAGAGGTTTGTCCTCCTCACAGGACCATGTCTTGATGTGCTGCTGCTTGTGAGAGAGGCTGGAGAGCGGCTCACGGCCCTCCTCCACACATGGGGCCGACGGGGACAGGCTCCAGTGTGCCCTGACAGCCCCCAGAGCCTAGAGCGTGGCGTGTGACCTCTGTGACAAACTGTGTCACCAACCTTTACAGGAAAAACGGAGGCTCTGAGATCCTATGCACCAGCCAGCTCTGCCACCGGAGAGCTGTGTCCTCTGGGGCTCTGCCTTTCCTCTCTGGAGGGAAGGACTGCTTCGAGCTGGAGGAGGGCCCTTCCAGGCCACCTTCACATTCACACCAGGTTGCTCAGGGTTGTTGTCCTGACTAGTTTTGAGCATCTCCAAGGGCTGGCACAACTCCATGGGCCCGACCTGCCTGGCTGGTGGCTCTTGCCCCAGATGAGGAGGCAGGGACAGAGTGGTGCATGTGTTACCTCTCTGCTATGCTCCTCCTTTCGGCTGGAGCTGCCTGGGCTGGGCAAGAAGACACATTAGATGAAAAATTGGCTGGCCCAGGCCTGAAAGTGAGGACCCCTGAGCTCCAGGGCCCCCCTGACTCTTGACAGCTGAGGTTGGGGACATCTCTCCTTTCCTTCTGCCCCCCTTTTTTTTGTTTTTTAAAAACAGGTGTTTTATTGCATCTGGGGCAGCTGGACCCTGGCACTCATTTGGTTCCTTTCCTGTTTAGATTTGGCTTTAAAAAAATAAACCACCCTGACTTGCTACCTTACTGCTGTGCTTTCGGAGCTGCCTGTCTCTCTCAAACCCCCTGCCTCGTCTCTTGAAAGCGGTTTGCTCTTCCCCTGTGCTGGTGGGT